TCAGGGAAAGAGCAATGAAATGGAAAGCAACATTTCAAACCAATAAAAATACTTCTGAAAACAGCTACAGCAAGTAGAATTCCAAATCTTAAAAACCTTCAAAACCTTAAAAAGCTTCCATATTCGCTAATAAAAAGGTTTGCACAAAACACATAACTTTTTTTTTTTTAAAAAAACACACTGCCATAGAGTATTGCAGAGATCCAAACAGGATTTGCTTATGAAGCTGGCCACAGTGGTGGCTATTAAAACAATGGTTAAGTATAACTCCTGGCTCTTAAATTCATGATTGCTGGAAGCAAGGAGAGTGTGGGAGGTAGAAGACTGCTCTTAAGTTATCCTTGCTTTTGCAACTTGTCCTTCAAAACCAGTTGCTGTCAGAAACAGTCTAGACTGCATGGACTGTTGGCCTGACTCGCTGTGATGGTTTTTATGTGAACAAAACCAGTAAGAAGGCATATATGCAAATATGTAAAATGAAGGAGAAACTAACTGTGTGAAAAAGTGATTTCATTCTGGTGTGTTTGATTCCTTCCTGTGAGGCATCACTTACAGCTGATGTCAAAGGAAGGATGCTGAATTAATTCAATCTGCTATGCCAGTTTCCCTCCAAATCTTTTAATATACAGGCGAAGTGAACAGGCTGTTTGAAAGCCAATATGCACTACAACGGAGAACATTTGTCAGAACAGAATTTTTGGGCTCGTGGTACACCCATAGAGAAAGCAGAATGAATGACAGTCACTACTACTACAGTGAGAGCTTTAACATTCGCTTCAACTAAAGGCAAAGAACAGTCGCAACATCGCTGCAAGTTATTTTGCTCCCTTTTAGAAGAAAAGCCATTTTCAACATCTTAAGATGATCTGTTGCTTTTGTTTACTCTTTGTTTGGGGGTCATATAAAGCACTTATAGAACATAACTAGGTATTTTTATGGAGACTAGTTAAATGCTAAGGTAAAGGGGAAATGCAGATGTGCAGAAGTTACCCTCTCAGCAACATCCAAGTGTGTCATGTTCATTTTAATTCTTCCTCTCTCAGAACGAGCTTTTATCTTTCGAAGTTGTGTTCAGAGTTTTGTCAATACTTGGAAATGACAAGGAGCTTATTCTTAACAGGCAACTAGGTTCCCTTCCTCATCTTTGAGGCTGATGCACAAGGCTGGAGAAATTAGTGGTTCAATATGATTATATTTAATTTCTCTGTGGACAGAGGTCAAATTGATCATGATTTAATGTTTGTACACAAAATGCAAAAACACTGATCTCTTAAAAAAAGTACACTTTATTCTACCTGGCAAAGCTATTCTCTGTAATTACTTGTAAACCGACACTCTTCTATGAAAGGCCAGAATTCAGCCTTTGTGACAAGAAATTGGTATTAGCAAAATACCATGGTTGGTCAAAACCTTTGCTAGTCTCTGTACAGTTTAACCAAGGAAATACGGTACAACTATGTGAATATAACACTAAATCTGGTTCTGGATTAGCTGAGATAAACAGGGAATGTTTGTAAAATTTCAACAGACAGCCGTGTGAGTGACTGGACTGTCTCTCAGACTAGGGGACAGTAAGGCATACCAGCTGCAAGAGGCAAAATTTTTCCAATGTAATCAGCTGCAGCTTGTCAGATTGCCTTTAGAGAGAAACAAGCTATGGAGGTTGGCCTGTCATCATGTCCCAGGATAGATGTGAAGTCACTGGAATGGATCAGCAGATCAGGAGAAGTCTACTGCTTGAAGTGGCTATCTGCTTCACCTTTTGTGGAAATGGGTCAGTCGGTGCTCAGCAATTGGACAGACACATCCTCGAGCACAATTTACCTCTACCAGCATAAGTACTAGAACACAAAAAAACCACCTCTTCCCAAATATCTCAAGCAATTGTTTCATCTTCAGGACAGTTACTTAGTTCAGGGTCTAGAATTCGGTGAAACACAATCTAAAACTTTGAAATATTTCTGCCCTTTTCCTTAAGTACAGATCAAATGGCTTTGCAACGTGACATGTTTATACATGCTATTTTGATGGTTTCCAGTATTAGATAAAATAAAGGTGAGGTGATGGCACTGTACTTGCACAAAGGGCTGATCCTCCTTCTCACAACTGAGATGAAAACTCAGTAATGTATTATTCGCCTTAACAGAGCAGGGCATTCATCCACCTCATTCAGAGACAGCCATTATCTGGTACTTCAAGGAAACTGAGCCTCTGCCGTCCAAAGGGGTAAAAGATACTGCCAATTAAAGAAGTTATGTACAGGATTGCTTTTCCTGATTCTGCTTGGCTAAATTATCAACGATCAGTCTCTACAACTTCACATACACTGTGCAGAAACTGCTTTCTTACTGCCACAAGAAAATGGTTGGAGACAGCAGTCTTATTCCTTAGCAAGTGCTGCAAGTCATGCACAAGAACACTGCCACTTTTCTGATAATGATGCCATAAACATTGACTAATATAAACCAAAATTAGAGATAAGCTACAACTTACCTGTCAATAGCTATTTGAAAAATGCTTTCAGACTGTAATTACTTTATTCTCTTTTTATGATCAATTTTGGGTTTATTATCTAACTATAATACTATCATAAAACTGAGAAAACACTTTGCATTTGAATTATGTGAGCAAGAGTATTTAAATTCAGCTCAGCAGATTACAAATCAACAAAAATGATGGCCTTTAAAAATACTACTTAGCATGACAAATGTTGGCAAATCTTAATTTTTATTTCCTGCTCTCAGCAGAAGAGGGTCCCGAGGCCAGTTACACTGATGCAGTAAGCAGGAGGTCGAAGATTGGGAGGCACGTTGGGCCTGGGAACCCACATAAGACAGAATTGGACCTACCTTTTCAAGTAGGTAGATACGTAGGTAGTAGGTGCACCAGAATGGGGAGCTTCATTTCCCTTTGATTCATCCCTCCACGGTTGCCGGGTATAAGAGCCACTCCGCACTAGGTTAACAGCTGATTCCCTAATGCAGGTGAGAGCACAAGGTTTGTTTAGAAAAACTTTTGGAGTCTGCTTTTGGCTCCTTTACAGTTCCACAACACAAATCCTTCCCTTACACCTACGTGCACCGTTGTTCACAGCTGACACAACTCACTGAAACACTTCTTCTAGCCTTAACATCCATTTCTGTTATTGCCAGCTGTATTACCTAAGAACCACCAGATGATGTAATGTTTTGCATGAAGAGGAACAAGATGCTTTTTAGTCAAAAACTTGCAATTGAAATTTAGATTGTCCATAAAAGTAAATAAACACATTAAATAATGTCATTTGATATTCCCTCTGCCATCTCGTATCAAACAACATTGCATAAATGGACAGATATTGCAAGTGCAGGGGAAATTTTTAATTCTCCGCGGCATCCAGGCAATGACAGCAAAACAATTCAGCATGGCAAATCCTTTTCTATACTTAGAAGCAGAAAACAGCAAAGAAAACATTTGGTAATATCTAAAACTACTTGACAAGTTATTGATAAATTACTAGTAGTCCCATTTATCATAGTTATCTGAAATCGGGGCTCCTTTCCCTAATACACACTTTGGCAGTATGTCCTATTCTTTTCTGGTCTTGGACAGGACCTCGAGCTTGCAATGCAACACAAATCCATTCACTCGTCAGCCGGTAATTTTTCATTTCTCAATTGCCATGTCCATGCTGATGCCCTTTCAGACACCTGTGGGTTCCATGAAGTGAAACTCAGCTGTTTTGAAAGGAAAGAATATCGGGAAAAATCTGTACTACACAGTACATCTGGGCACCATCTGTTCAGGCAGGCCAAGTTTCCTCATTCCCCACTTTACCAAGCAAAGGACACTTATCCGCAGTCAGCTGGATATGCCACTCAATATGAGCCACTGCCAAAACCACTCAAGCTTATCAACAGACACAAATCGTCTGCTAAACTCCAAATCACAGTGACTGGCTGGGATCAAGTAAGAACGCAGCAGGGAGGTTCCAGCAAAAGACCAGCAAAGAATCTCAAACTGTGCTGAAATTCTCGTAGGGTGGTCATCTGCTGTGACTTCTTCACAGCAACTGCGGTTCACATTGACTTCTCTATATGTGCCTTTCTACCACAATTGTGGAAGTGGTTGGAAATAAGGCTACACTCAAATTTTACTCCTTCTAGCACAAACTGTGAAGCACTTGTTTGTAGAGATTAGCTCCTCAAATATACCCTCAGAGACTAGATATTTATCCCATTTATACTGTGGTTCTGTCCACGGGCAACTACACACATTTACTGTAAAAACAACCCCCGCAATGGAAACAGTTCTGCACACAAGAGAGTTCATAAACTCAAGTGAATCAAAAAGTGACAGATGTGTGAACAAAGGGACTGAAGGTGACTATTGAGCAAGTGACAGAGGGACAAGTGTAGGTGCCAGCTACAAAATGAGGCACTTGCATATAAAAGGAAAAAGTATGCACATAAATGTAGTTTCCCAGACAGAGACCATATATGTATGAATACAGGTGTGGAGAAACCAGCCTGTTGCCCTGCTCACCTAAATGAAAAGCAATGTACCAGAACTTTTATAGATCAGAGACAGCTCTTGATATTGTGAATTCCCATGTACTTACGACTGCTAAGAAAATATATGAAGCATGAATATAGAAAAAAAGGTATTCTGGAAGAATATCGACAGGACAGAAGCTGAGCATTAAGTTCAGTCTCACCTGTTTTCTTTTTCTTCTATATCACTCGTACTGCTTAGTCTTCTGGGGGCTATTGTAGCAAGATAGCTCTTGCTGTCTTTTTCCTGGTGAAGCAAAAGAAGTACTTCAACTGCACATCTGTTACACTTCCAGCACATTCAATGACAACTAAATTCACATTCAAATTTCTTCAACTAAGAAAGCATTCTCCTGTCTAAGGACACCTGGTTTAAGGTATTTTCTTGGGCAATACATACCACAGCGCAAAAATATCAGTTCTGAAAATGATTTCCCAAAGAGCACGACAGTGAATAAAAGCAGTTTCTAACTACAACTACTTAAAAATCAGAGAATCATAGAATAGTTTGTGTTGGAAGGGACCTTTAAAGGTCATCTAGTCCAACCCCTCTTGCAAGGACATCTTGAACAAGATCAGGTTACTCAGAGCCCCGTCCAACCTGACCTTGAACGTTTCCAGGGATGTGGCATCTACCCACGGGCAGCAAAATTACAGCTAGTGAATACATGGGATAGGATTCACAAATACAGCTGGTGGGTACAGGAGGAATCCATAGAAATGACAGTGAAGGAGAATTTCCACTGCAGGTGTGTGCTACTGTCTGGATCAGATATTTTTTTGTAAAGAACAGGCCATGCCAGACCGGCTCCCCTTGTTTGCTGGCAGCCCACTCCAAACCAAGCAGGAATTAGGTCAAAGGGGCACTGAACTCCAGTTCTGCAAGAACAACTGACAGGATAGGAATCATTTTCAAAAGCAAAAAAGAAGAATGAAAGAGACCTAAGTTTTTTATGGATATAAAACACAGTAATAACTCAAAATGAAAGGGAAAGGGTCTTAAATCTGTGAGGTAAAGTCTGCTCAACTGGGATGCACTGAAACATCTTTGCTGAAAGTCGAACCTTTTCTTTGTTGTCTAATAATGCAGATATCCGAGGACTTGACGAAGAACGATAGATAGAAGAAGTCTTATCTCTCTGTGCCTCACGGGTAGCAGCGACTTCACTCAACGTGTTGTGACTGCCAGTCTTCCGTAGTCCCAGCCGCCACGACGAAGGTGACTCGTCCTTCTGCTCATCTGACTTGCTGAGCCAACTGAACTGGAGAGGAGAAAAAGGGGACATTTGGAAGAAGAAAGAGCACTGCAAGGCACAATCTGAGTTCTGCAAGTGTTTCGACAAGCCCAAATTTTTGCTGGGCTACGCTTGTAGATGTAAGATGGAGACTTTGATTTCCTGCTTAGCTTTAATTACAGGACATAGCTCAAGGTGAACTCACAGGGGTGCAAACTGCTGTAGTGCCCTCATCCCCAAGGACAGGCGATGAAAGAAATCTTGTGCCATTGTGCAGTTCCCTTTGCCTACACAAAGCCCTCCTCCAGCTTTGCAGAAAGAATATAAGCAACAATGAAGCTTTTATTAGCACCCGTTTAGGAAGAGGGAATTATTGAGTAAAGGCAGAAAACCAAAACAAGTAATCAACTCTTTTGAGACAAGCTACAAATAAAACCCTTACACAAATCAAACTGGAGAGAGTCCAGAAGAAGCCATTAAGATCATTACGGAGCTGCAGCCCACAACATGTAAAAGGAGAGACTGAGGAAACCTGGCTTGTTTAGCATGGAAAAAGAAGGCAAAGAAAGGATTTAATTGCTCTACTACTTGCGGGGTGGGGTTTACAGAGGATATGGAACCAGACTTCTCAACAGTCTACAGTGAAAGGAGGAGGAATAGATAAGTTCCAACATGGGAAATCCCAACCGACATGAAGGACGACATACCTCCTGCTAGGAGCAATGCTGCATGGGGACAAGAAGCAAGAGAGTGGGGATCTCCATCCTCAGAGACTTTTTAATACTCAGCTGAGCTCATGTAGTTCAAAGTAACATGACATAGGATTGGAGTTGGCCCTGCTTCAAGCAAGGGGTTGGACTACAGGCTTGCAGAGACCAGTTCTAGCTTAAACCTTTCTATGGTCAGGTAACTGCATATTCTGTACATACTACAGAATGGACTTTCATAGTTCTTCTTACATGAGGCACTTCTGACAAGCATATATTATTCAGCAAATATAAAACTGCTTAAACGTACAACTTTAGTTATAATTGTCAAGTCTTACAAAAGGATGCCTACTGCCATTCAAGAATGGAGCCTGGGCACTGAAAGAGATACTTCTACAAAGACAGGGGCTCAACACTGAGTTGTATAAGAAGTAATGCAAACAAAACATTAGTAATTATTGGAAAAGAACAAAATATGAAACACAACATCACTATGCCTCTGTGTTACTGCACGGTACAATCACATCTTCGGTATCACGCACAGCTCAGCTCCACAGCATCAAAGCAGTATAGAGGAAGGGGAAGAGATTCAGAGTAAGGCAACATGAGTACAGCAAGAGAGCTTCTGTATGAGGAGTTACTCAGTACATCAGGAGTCTCCAGGCTGAGATATGACCAAGGTACACAAAACCCTCAGTGGCACATCGAAGGGTGAATAAGGATCAATTATTCCTTGTTCCTTCCCATAAAGGAATTGGGGCAGCAAACAAAACCAGCGTGTGGCAGGGTTAACGAAACAGGTGCAGAAAGGTCTGTACAGCATGTAATCAAGGTGAAGAACCCTTTGCCACTGGACATTATAGGATCTCAAACATTACAGGCACTCAAATAGTGACTGTATAAATTCACAGGGGAAAAAGTCCAACAGGGGCTACTGAATACAAAAAAATACCACAGGTTCAGCAAATCCCTGAAATGCAAATTGCTAGAAGGTGGGAGAGAAGTCTGGCTAGATTCTGTCTTCTTTAGTATCTTTTGATGATCACTGTCAAGGGAAGGATACTGCGGTAGACAAGGCTTTTGGGCAAAGCTGATACAAGCATTATTACACCATAGTCTACATAAGACAAAACATCTGACATTATCCAGAATAAATGAACCTACTGGAGAGCTCTGCCCTCAAGCTCATTGACTCAAGACGGCAAAGATAAAATTATCACTGCAGTATTTTAGCAACGTTTCTTAGCTAATGTTATTTTAATGTAGATGCACAGAGCTAATCTGTACTCCACTAATTCTAGCACTTCCAGTCTACTGAGCTACAGGGCTCCAACGCTTTAATGTAGTTCTGACATTTTACTCAGAGAAAGCTCAAATTCACAGTAAAAGCTGCCTTCTGTAATTTCTGAACAACACAGGAACAGCACATATTAATAACTCCACAAACCGAGGGCCACACAAACACTCATACTTTCCCATATAAAACCCAACATGACAAAGAGTTACAGAAGAATCAAACAGGTAAGAGAAGGTAAAGTAGTCAACCTTAAGTGACTACAGGTCAAATTAATAACTGGTTTGCACACAGGCCCGCTTCTATACCCTAACAGCCTTATTCTGGCTTAAACAGTTCAAATGAATGAGAGCAATACTCTGCAGCTGGGAAAAAGTTAACTGAGGTGCTCACACTTCCCACTGTCCTTCTACTTTTAACACTTCCCCTGCTAAGTCAGCCCAAGTTGAATAACGCCTGGAGAAGTTCTATTTCATTTCATCTGGACAAGAAATTAGACTTAGTAGCATGTCAAAAATAAAAAATTGTGACTAAGCAAGAAACACTTTCCCCTCTAACATGTACCCAGTGCTTCAGACTTTGGCAAGGTGCCCGCATTGTATAGCTGTTCTCCATATTCTGGTGCAAAAAGAAACCAGAAGCTAAGATATCAGTCCTCAGCAGAACACAGAGTCTCCTGGTGCCATCTAGCTGAGTGACGTGAGAGCTGGAGAATTCAGATAAGATTTCAGCAACTCTACTTCACCTTTAAAAAGCTTTCATAGCCCAGCTAGCTAGTCAGATTCAAACTTTATCCCCTTTGCTTACCGGGCTGTAACATCATGCCACTGAATCAACTGAGTTTGGCAAGTCAGAGGCACTTTAGATGATGATGCCAAATTCACTGCT